AAGACTCTCCCAGCAAACAGAAGCCCAGGCTCGAATGGCTTCATAGGAGTTTTACCAAACATTCAAAGAAGACCTAACACCCATTCTCCTCAAACTATTCCAAAAACCCAAGAAGACAGAAGACTTCCAAACACATTTTATGAGGCCAGCATAATCATAATTCCAAAACCAGATAAAGGCACTACAAAGAAAGCTACAGGCCAATATCCCTGATGAACACAAATGCCAAAATCCTTAACAAAATATTAGCAAATCAGATCCAGCAATACATCAAAAAAATTATTCATCATGACCAAGTGGGATTCATCCCAGGGATGCAAGAATGGTACAATATTCGCAAATCAATAAATGTGATATACCACATAAACAAATGAAAGATAAAAACCATATGATCATATAAATAGATGCTGAAAAAGCATTCGACAAAATCTAGCACCCGTTCCTGATAAAAACATTCAACAATGTGGGAATAGAGGGATCATATCTTGACATAATAAAGGACATATATGAAAAACCTACAGCCAACATCATACTCAATGAGCAAAAACTAAAAGCATTTCCCTTAAGAACAGGAACAAGACAGGGATGCCCACTTTTGCCACTCTTGTTTAACACTGTACTGTAAGTCTTAGCCATAGCAATTAGACATGAAGAAAAAATAAAAGGGATCCAAATTGGAAAGGAGGAAGTGAAACTGTCATTATTTGCAGATGACATATACATAGAAAATCCCAAAGACTCCATCAAAAATCTTCTAGATTTAATAAATGAATTCAGCAAAGTAGCAGGATACAAAATTAATGTCAAGAAATCGATGGCATTCTTATGCACCAATGATAAACTCACAAAAAGAGAAACTAAAAAACAATCCCATTTACCATTGTGGCAAAAAAATTAAGATACTGAGGAATAAACTTAACCAAAGAAACAGAGGACCTCTTCACAGAAAACTACAGGTCATTGAAAAAAGAAATAGAGGAAGATATAAAAAAGTGGAAGCATATACCTTGTTCATGAACTGGAAGAATTAACATCATTAAAATGTCCATAATACCCAAAGCAATCTATAAATTCAATGCAATCTTCATCAAAATACCGACAACATATTCCACAGAACTAGAACAAATACTCCAAAAGTTTGTATGGAACCAAAAAGGACACCGAATAGCCACAGCAATCTTAAAAAAGAAGAAACAAGTAGGAGGGATCACAATACCAGATATCAGGTTATACTACAAAGTTATACTACAGGTTATACCACTGCAATCAAAACAGCCTCGTATTTCCACAAGAACAGGCAGATAGATCAGTGGAACAGAACAGAGAACCCAAAAATCGACCCAAGACAGTATGCTCAATTAATATTTGACAGAGGTGGCAAGAGCACACAGTGGAGTAAAAATAGCCTCTTCAGTAAATGGTGTTGGGCCCTGGCCGGTTGTTCAGTGGTTAGAGCATCGGCCCACGGACCAGAGAGGCTGGTTTCCGTTCCCGATATGGGCACATACCTTGGTTGCAGTTTGTCCTCAGCCCTAGTTGAGGTCATGTGGGTGGCAACCAGTCAATGTGTCTCTCTCACCTTGATGTTTCTCTCTCTGTCTCTTCCTCCCTCTCTCCGAAGATACATGCAAAAATGTCCTCAGGTGAGGAAATAAATTAATTAAATAAATAAATAAATAATGTTGGGAAAATTGGACAGCTACATGCAACAAAATGAAGCTAGATCACCAACAGAAGAATAAACTCAAAATGGATAAAAGACATAAATGTGGCTTGTGAATCCATAAAAATCCTAGAAAAAAATGTAGGCAACAAAATTTCAGACATCACACCCAACAGAATTGTTACTGATACAATGCCTAAGGCAAGAGAAACACAGGAAAAAATGAACACATGGAACTACATCAAATGAAAAAGCTTCTGCACAGCGAAAGAAACCACCATCAAAATGGAAAGGGAACCGACTATATGGGAAAGCCTAATTGCCAATGATACATCACATAATGGGTTAATTTACAAAATTATATAGAGTACTCATACAACTCAACAAAAGAAAGACAAAGAACCCAATTTAAAAATGGGCAGAGGACCTAAAGCAACACCTCTCCAAATAGGACATACAAATGGCCAAGAGACATGAAAAAATGCTCAACGTCACTAATCATCAGAGAGATGCAAATTAAAACAACAATGATGTATCACCTCACACCTGTCAGAATGGCTGCCATCAACAAATCAAACAAGTGCTGGTGAGGGTGTGGAGAAAAGGGGACTCTAGTACACTGCTGGTGGGAAAGCAGACTGGTGCAGCCACTGTGGAAAACACTATGGGGTTACCTCAAAAAGTTAAAAATTGAACTGCCATTTGACCCAGTGATCCCACTTCTAGGAATATATCCTAAGAAGCCTGAAACACCAATCAGAAAGAATATATGTACCCCTATGTTCATAGCACTATTTACAATCGCTAAGATCTGGAAACAGCCCAAGTGTCCATCAATAGATGAGTGGATGAAAAGGCTGTGGAGCACATACACAATGGAATACTATGCAGCTGTAAGAAAGAAAGATCTCTTATCCTTTGAGATGACCTGGAGGGACCTGGAAAGTATTATCCTAAGTGAAACAAGCCGATCAAAGAAAGACAAATATCACATGATCTCACTTATTTGTGTAATATCATGAAAAAAATAGACCCAGAGACATAGAAGCAGGGCACAGACTTAACAAACATCAGAAGGCAGGGTTGGGGGGGGTGGGTGGAGATAAACCACAGAACTTATATGCATGTATGGGTAACCATACAATGGACATAGACAAAAATGCTGGGGATGGGGTGGTGAGGGCGGATCAGGAGGAAGGTGTGAATAGGGGACAAAGGAGAAACATCTGTAACAAAAATAAATTTGTAAATTGAAAAAGATGGTATAGCCCTGGCCGGTTTGGCTCAGTGGTTAGAGTGTCGGCCTGCGGTCCAGAGAGACCCGGATTTGGTTCCTGCTAAGGGCACGTACCTCGGTTGCAGTTTGTTGCCGACCCTTGTTGGTCATGAGGGTGGCAGCCACTCTATGTGTCCCTTTCACTTCAATGTTTCTCTCTCTCTCTCTCCTCCGCTCCCTTCCTCCCACTCTATCTGAACAAAAAATGGAAAAATGTCCTCAGGTGAGGATAAGAAAAAAAGGTGTTATAAATTGTCTTCAATCTAAAATTTATCTAACATTTCATGGTGTAATATTTTCTGTGTTCTCATTATCAATTTTCCAGTGATTAAAACTTTTTCCTCTTGCCCTGCCTGGTGTGGCTTAGTTGGTTGGCAGCATCCTGTGCACAGAAAGGTTGCTGGTTTGATTCCAGGTCAGGGCACATGGAATCAGGGTTTTAGGTACGATCCCCAGTAAGTGGTATGCAGGAAACAGGTGATCAATGTTTCACTCTCATATCAATGTTTCTCTCTTTCCCTCTCTCTCCAAAAAATCAATTTACAATATATGTGTGTGGCCTTGGCCGGTTTGGCTCAGCGTTTAGAGCATTGGCCCATGGACCAGAGAGTCCCAGGTTCAGTTCCAGCTAAGGGCACGTACCTCGGTTGCAATTTGTCCCCAGGCCCAGTTGGGGTCATGTGGGTGGCAGCCACTCGGTGTCTTTCTCGCATCAATGTTTCTTTCTCTCTCTCCCTGCCTGTCTCCCTCCCGCTCTATCTGAAGATGGATGCAAAAATGTCCTCGGGTGAGGATAAAAAATAATAGTGAAATGAAATAAAATGTGTGTGTGTGTATTCTTTGTGTTATCATAACTCCTTTAGTGATGACAGAGTGAAGTACAATACATATCAAGGAGGTGAGGGAGGAGGCAGCCAAAAGAATGAAAGCTTAATTCTGCATGTCTCTCATTTATAAGGGAATTACAACCCTCCACCCCCAATAAAACAGTTGTGGAACTTGGAAGAGACTGAGCTACTCAATGTACACCCTGAAATAAAAAAATGTTTCCCTTTTGGGATTTTTAATTACAAAAGTAATAACATGCTCTTTTTTTGAGGGGGGGGTTTGCCCCTAGCAAGAACCAAACCCAGGACTCTCTGGTCCGCAGGCCGATGCTCCAACCACTGAGCCAAACATAAAATACATTACAGTAAACACTTGTGTACCCACCACATAGATTCTACCATTAACATTTCACCGTGCTGAATCATCCATCCATCGATTAGTCCTGTTCTTTTTATGCATTCCAAAGTAAATTGCAGACATTAGTATGTTTTCCCCTAAATACTTTAACATATACATCATTAGAGTTCAATATTTCTTTACAGTTTTAACTTTTGAGATAAATATTACATATAGTGAAATATGTCTTAATTATATATTTGCTAAGTTAAGACAAATGTATTCACATATAGAACTTGTATCAAATATCTAGAACATTACCATAACCCCTAGAAAGTTTCCTTATGCTCCTTCCCAGTGATTCTTTTTTTTTTTTTTTTTTATCCTCACCCAAGGACATTTTTCCACTTTTTGTTCAGATAGAATGGGAGGGAGAGAGAGAGAAACATCGACGTGAAAGGGACACATCGAGTGGTTGCCACCCACACAACCCAACCAGGGCCGGGGACAAACTGCAACCGAGGTACATGCCCTTAGCGGGAACCGAACCCGGGTCTCTCTGGACCACAGGTTGACGCTCTAACCACTGAGCAAAACCGGCCAGGGCCCAGTGATTCTTTACTCCATCCCTCCAGAGACAACAACTGTTCTGATTTTCTTCCGCCATAAATATCTCAAGATAATCAGAAATGTTTTGGTTTTGATTCATTGTGGATCATACATACATAAATATGGGTTAAATTATTGGTCATAGGCCATATTGACGTAAACTGTTGAAAGGATTCATATTTATGATGATTTTAGTTTATAATTACGGTATTGCTTCCCGTATAGATTATATGACTTGTGTGAATGGCTTTCATAGAAATTATATGTAATTCTTTCTCTCAACCTCAGGGAACCTCCAAAAGGAGCTCATTTTCTTGCCAGAAATCTGGATGATGCCTTAAAACTTATTGAGGAACCAGAATTAGCAAATAAAGTGAACATGGTTTGGATAGTGGGAGGCAGTTCCGTTTATAAGGTAAGTAAAGTTATCTGTAAATATAGAATGTTCTACTCTACTTTTAAGTCATGAGTGAAGGAAGCACATTACCCTACTGTAAGTTAGGCGTATTGTCAATTTGAATTCTTTGTTTTTTGATATCACAGAAACTAAATAATCATGTAAAAGTAAGTTTTTAAGTCTTTACCAGTTTATTTCCAATTCAAAATAGTTGATGTTTCCAATTTTAAAACATTCTGAATTCTTCCCTTAGAATTGTACTTGAACTGCACTGATTTTGATACAGAGTTACCCCTTTTCTTCGAGGATGAGTATATCTCTTACTGAGAAAGTGATGGGGCTATCAGCTCATGTACTGCCCAGATGTATATGAATTTGTTAAAAGCAAAAACTTTGCCTCAGCAATTTTCATATAATGTGAGGGCATGGGAAAAGTATTATAGTATTTTGTCATAAAGTGAAAGAAAATATTCCTTGTTCTTGACACCAAATGGCTCCAGCTTTCAAAAATTTTGAGGATAATAAATGGAATTTTCTTACTCTTTTAAAACACTTGTGAAAGATTAACATTTATAGGGAGAAAAAAATCAGCCCCTATCCTTTGGGGGCTTATGGTAACATGTACACTGAAATTATCTGAGAAAGAGGGGTTATACCAGTATCTTAGATGGGATTACAAAAACTCTGTTTCTTGGGTTCCTATTTCAACAACCTTTAAACAACAAAACACTTAGAATTACAGTCATCTATATAATTTGATACATCTACATGTAATAAATAATAAGGAAATAGAACGTCCGGGTTATAATTCTGCATTATTCACCTACCTCACATCACAATAGTTTGTAGAACATTTAGGCTTCTCTTCTCACAGGCCAAACTGGGCCTCCTAACCTGTTTTTATAAATAAAGTTTTAGTGGAACACAGCCACAGCCATTGGTTTGTCTGTGGCTGCTTTTGCCTAAACAGTAAGAGAAACCAGATGGCCCACAAAGCCTAAAATACTTACTGTCTGACCCTTTACAGAAAAGGTTTGCCAAACACCATTAACTTTGATACAGACTTTCAAATGCTGCGGTAGTTAGTCCTGCTCAGTTTTCCTAATTTTTGGTACAGCAAGATTTGGTAGAGTATTTATCTGCTTGGGGCAAGAGAATAAATGATGTAACACCATAAGCTACATTATTGAAAATAATAAGTAAAATTTATTCTATGCCCTTATTTGGAATTATAAGGATAACAAATACTTGAAATTATATTTACATATGTGTATGTATTTTTTTTCTTTTTCTTTTTTAATCCAGAGTTATTGCTTTCTTGGAGCTGCAGCTAGGATTCATGACTTTCTATCAACAGCATTATGGGTGATAATTAGAAAAGTCATTAACAATATGAGGCCAAATACAATCATTAGCAACAAGAGGCAGAATAAATTACCTACTAGCATTATAACTATCTCCTGGGAAATGGAAGCATTATTAAATTTTGTGTAAATGTACTAAGTATGCCCTTGAGGTTTTTATTAGTCAGGGTCTTATGAAATTATACTATCTTATCCATTTATATATATGTAAATTTTTCTATTGCCTATAACTAGATAAGTCGGGGTTCTTAATTCCTAAGCAACCACCAAAGAAAAAAGACAAAACTGAATGCTTAAAGGAAAAAAGAGTTTGTATAAGCAAACTAGAGGCCAGAATATATTTTAACTCACGCTCATACTTCTATCTAATGATTAGTACCATTCTCAACATAAATAAGGCATACTTTGCAGGGCTCCAGTATAAAGAATAGGATATTTAAATAGCACTCTTTCATACCTAGTACAAACTTGACTATATAATTAAAACAAACAAAAATCTTGAGTTTCTGTTTCTTTTGAAACAGATATATAAGGAAATTGATGACTTTTGTTTTATTTCAAAGGAAGCCATGGACAAGCCAGGCCATCTTAGACTGTTTGTGACAAGGATCATGCAGGAATTTGAAAGTGACACATTTTTTCCAGAAATTGATTTGAAGAAATATAAACTTCTCCCAGAGTGAGTAAAATGTTATTAATTATTCTGAAGTACTTTTGGATTTCCAACTTAAGAATTATAGGAAAGAGTACGGCATGTTTCTACAGATTGGATTTGGGGTAGTAATGTGTTTTATACTATAGTAATTTTTGGAAATTTGCTATAATAGACTTGGAAATGTTCAAGTTTTAATGATTTTACTGAAATCTAGAGTAGCCCTAAGTTCCTTCTATGAGATCTGTGTTTAGCATCTAACACTGTCCTGGGCATTGGGGAAAGAGTGTTTACTGAAACAGATGCTATTTGCTATTCTCCCGATTACATTTTTGTAGTAGAGAAGTAGAGTGGCAAATAATAGGTAAACTACAAGAGTTGCTGTGTGGAGAATTGAAATACTGTGATGTGATAAATACTGTATAGTCTGAGAAGTCCACTCTGAAGAGTGATGTCCACACTAGGATCTAAATGACAAGCCAGCCATGCAAAGAACAGGGAAGAGCATTCCAGGAACCAGAAATAGCCAGTGTAGAGACTCAATGGTGGGATCAAGCTTGGAATGTTCCCTGAGCCTTGAAAGCCACTGAGAGCATTGTGAGCCTAGGGGAAGACTCAAAGGGATCAGACCAAATGCAGATTTAGGGGGTTCTGAATTGAGTGATGTTGTTCTAGCTGTGGAGAATAGACCAGAGGGGACAGGAATGAAGCTGGGAAACCAGTTAGGTCTAGTAATTCGGATGAAAGATGAAGGGACTTAGATAGCAGTGGTAGAGATGGAAAGAAGAGATTACACTTGCTTTACTATGTAGTTATGATTTTAGCCTGAAACTGCCTGGTTTTGAAAGCTCGTAGCATTTTAGTTTAAAGCACTTTTCAGCTTTAAGATTAATTATATCAACACTTTCATCTAGCTTTTAATACATTCTTTCAGATATTCTCAGTTGAATCCAGTCATTATTTAAGTGTGTTTGTTTTTATAAATACCTCCTAAGAACATTCAGAGCCAAGTCGGAATAAATGGGTAGTTAAGCTTTAGATAGTTTATAGAATAATAGGTAGTAGTCTTAAATCATGAAATGTGTAACTGACTTTCTTGGGCTCTTAACTAGCTCTAAACAGTTAAAGTTCAGGCTTTTGCTTATAGTTTCCAAAAGTGACTAGTTAGAAAAGTCACACTTACTAATTTTATATATATTTATGTAAAAATATGTGTTTCTTTGCTGCACCTTATATATTTTCTCTTATACTGCTTAGGTTGCTGGTTGTCACATTAAGTGAATATTGATCTCTTGTCCCTCATTTCTTATCTTTCTCTTTGCTTCTAACAAAAGAATAGATTACTGTGTGAGTCACTTCATATTAAATATCTTTCCAAATCCTATCATTCTTGATCAGACCTCTTCCATAGCTCTGACCCTTTGGGATCCTTGATAACTTAAACACCATTCTGGCTCTCTGACTCTTAGAAATGAAAATTTTAACATCTTTACTGAGAAATGATTCACACATCAAAACATTCACCCACTGAAAGTATATAATTCAGGGGTTTTGGTCTATTCACAGAGTTCTGCAACCATCACCACAATCTACATTTAGAACATTTTCATCACCCCCCAAAAAACAGGTACCCATTAGCAGTTATTCTCCATTCCCCTGCCCTCCTAGCCATAGGAACCATTCATCTATTTTCCGTCTCTACAGAGATGCCTATGGAATTGGCTTCTTTGTCTTAGCATACCGTTTTAATACAGGCAGTTTAATAAAGTAGGTTTATGGTTATGAATCATGAAACACAGTTTATTCTTGTTTTTTCTCTATTAATTATTGTATTATTTTCCATATGGACAACTGTAAACCTACTTTTGCCAACCCCTGTATGTTATCAGTACTTGCTTCACATATTTTCTCCCATTACTTGTTATGTCTTTTCACGTTTTTTAAAATTTACATTTCTTTTTTTTCTTTTCACTTTCTTAATGATTTATCATTCATAGCACACAGATTTTTAATTTTGATGTTGTCCAATTTTTTTTTTTTTCATGGTCACTTGTCCTTTTGGTATTATACCTAAGAAACCATTGCCCAATCCAAGCTCACACAGATTTACTCCTATGTTTTCTACTAAAAATTGTTTAATTTTAATTCATCCTTTAAGTCTATGGTCCATTGCAGTTAATTTATGTATGGTGTAAGGAACAGGTCCAAATTCATTCTTTGGTAAGTGGCTATCCAGTTGTCCTAGCACTGTTTGTTAAAAAGACTATTCGTTCCCCCATTAAATTGTTTTGACACCCTTATCAAAAATCAGTGGACCTTTGCCTGGCCAGTGTAGCTCAATAGGTTGAGCATCTGTCCTGTGCATCAAAAAGGTCATGGGTTCAATTCCAGGTCAGGGCACATGCCTGGGTTGTGGGTTTGATTCCCAGTAGGGGGCATGCAGGAGGCAGCCAATCAATGTTTCTCGTTTACAGCAGCGTTTCTTTCCCTCTCCTTTCCGCTCTAAATAATCAATTAAAAACAATTTTTTTAATCAGTGGACCAAAAATGTGAGCATTCATATCTGGACTTTCAGTTCTATTCCATTAATCTAAATGCCTATCCTTATGCCAATACTACACTATCTTGATTAGTGCTACTGTATAATAACCACTGAAGTTAGGAAGTACAAGTCCTCCAACTTTGTTTTTTTTTCAAGACTGTTTTGGCTATTCTGGGTCCCTTTTGTTTCCATATAAGTTTTATGGTCAGCTTGTCAATTTCCGACAGAAAGCAAGCTAGGATTTTGATAGGGATTGTATTGTATCTGTAGATCGTTTGAGAGAGTATTGTTATCTTAGCATTATTTGTCTTCCAAACCATAAACATATGTCTTTCTAGTTATTTAGGTCTTCTTTAATTTCTTTCAGCAATGTTTTATAGCTTTCAGTATACAAGTATTTTATTTTCGGACTGTTCATTGGTAATATGCAGAAATATAATTGGTTTGTGTGTATTTGTCTTGAATCCTGCAACCTTGCTGAACTCATTAGGTCGAACTGTTAGTGGATTCCTTAAATTCCTGTACACAGGCTATATCATTTGTAAACAGATAGTTTTACTTCTGCCATTCTAATCTGGATTTTTTTTTTCTTTCCAAATTGCATGAACTAGAGCCTCCAGTACAACGTTGAATAGAAATGATAACAGCAAGACATCCTTGTCTTGTTCCTGATCTTAGAGGGAAAGCATTCAGTCTTTTTACCATTAAGTGTGATGTTAGCTGTGGGTTCTTCACACATGCCCTTTATCACATTGAAGATCTCTTCTATTTGTACTTCATTGAACTGTTTTTATCATGAAGGGGCATTGGATTTTGTTAAATGCTTTTCTGAGTCTATTAAGAAGATCATGTGGTTTTTTGTCTTTAATAAGACATAATACACTGATATTTAATACACTATTACATTGCTTGGCTTTGGTGTTATAATAATCTTACATTTCTGGGATAAATCCACTTGGAAGTAATGTGTAGTCCTTTGTATGTGTTCCTAGGTTCAGTTTGCCAATATTTTGGTGAGGATTTTTGCATTTATATTTATAAGAGATATTGGGCTATACTTTTCTTTTTTTGTAATGTCTTCACCTGGTTTTGGTGTCAACATAATACTGGCCTCACAGAATGAGTTGGGAAATACTCTCACCCTTCTAGTTTGTTTGTTTTTTCAAAGAATGTGTAAAGAATTGGTATTACTTCTTCATCTATCTTAGCTGTCTTAGAATAGATTCAGATAGGAAATTGCTATGCAAAGCCAAAATCCAAAGAAATTCATCTAAAATGGACCTTCTAAATGAAGCTATGGAAGAAAATGAAAAGTCTTTTTACCATTGCACCATTTGATGGTATCTTCCTGTGCTAACAGCCTCTTTAACATGTGGTAGGGAGAATCCCCTAAGGAGAGATCTGGAGTAGTTCATCTTTTATGAGGTAGAGAAAAAGGAAACCTCTGAAGACAAAGAGAATATACCTTGTCCCTGGAAGTCTGTAACATTACTCAGTTCTTGAGCTGTTTTCTTTCCAAATAGTTGTACAATGGGGAACTTAGACTTGTTCCCTACTGTCCAGATATGAACTCTGATAATTCTCTTCTTCTTTTTTGTTCCCCACAGCTACTGCTTAGGTTGGACCCCCCTCCCCACGCCCCTTCCCCCACATTATTCCCATCAGTAGGCCTCTTGTGGTTCCATAGGTTTCAGTTCAAACACACTATATTTTATTAACACTATACTTCTGGTAATAAAAGTATTAGTATAATGAAATAAAGATGAAACAGAATTATTGTGAAGAATGAAGATAATAAAATTAGAGTGTAGATGAAGCCCCAAATGGTGGAAACCTAAAAGCAGAAGTTAATTTTAACAAAGTAACATGATTTTACTTTCTGTCTGCCTCACCACTACCACCACCACCACCACCAGCATCACCACTACCACCTCCACCATTATCACCACCACCACCACCACCACGGGTTATTATCTATGCAAGTATTCTTTTGACAGCACCATGCCAGCCTGTCCTCTGAAGCTCTGCCCTCATTCATTGTGCCTGGAAGAAATCCTTCTATCTCAGACTATTTCACATTAGGCTCCAACCAAATCAGCAGACCCAAATATTTTATGTCAGCAGTTTTCGGCTTAATGAGCCCCAAAGAGGCTTCTTTTTCTAGTTACTCACCTTTTATGTGACCATGCTGTCAAAGAGGATAAAGACCAGAAACAGGCTGTTGAAGCAGTAGTTGGCTCCAGAGCTGGGACAGATAGATGCCCCTTAGCTTCTGAAATGCTTGAAGACTTTAGAGGGAAGTCTGTGTCTGGGTGGTTCATAACAAATAGGAGGTTTTTCCTTCAAATCCTGTTAGACTTAAACTCAGAGTTAAAATGTGGCTCTTAAACAATTTGTTCTTCAGAAAAATTTACAATTATAATTATGAGGTAGTTATAATCATGAAAACAGACTGAATATGTGAATACCGTGGAAAGTAAAATTAATCTTAAACAGAATTAAATTTAGTTTTACAGAGGAGATTACCATTAATACCATGACTAGTGACCGTATCCAACCAGTAGCTATTTCTAAGTTCTTATTTATGGTTTTAGAAGCAACTTTGATACTTTGCTTGTATCTTATTAACTGACAGTTTTGGTAGTCTTGAGAATTTTACACACACAAAAATGTACAGGTTGTTTTGGTGACTTATTCCACATATATTAAAATATGGTTAAAAGTTGGCTTCTAAAGTCATTTCTTTAGAAAAGAAAAAAGCTATACTGCTACTAAAGCAAACAGCTCAGAAAATGGTTAGTAAATAGAAACATAGCTTCTTCCTCTGAAATATAAATTACTCAAGAAAAAATACCTTTTTCTTTTCCTTACACATTATTACGCTATTTATGTACAAATTGTTTTTTATCAGAATGTCATAATCTAATTAGTCAACAAAATATCTCAGTATTGTGTTGGATTTCAGAAGAGATTTAAATTTTTTCCTGTATTATTTTTACCTACAATGAGTTTAGAAAATAGGGGAACAAACAAACTTAATATTATTAATGAATGACATTTGTAGAGCACTTAATGTAGTGTGCATACAGTGCTAAATTCTTTATAAGGAAAAAGACCTTTTATTGATAGCCAAGTGTCACACAGCAGAACCAGAGTCCAACACAAGTCTTAATGAAGCAGATGTTCCTGGCCCTGCCAGGAACATAGTGGGAAGCAGCAGTACTGAGGAAGTGCAGCAGGATTTGGGTTGAAGGCTAGAATGGTCAGAATAGCCTTCAGTGAAAAACCTGGATTTTGGCTTGTTTTGTTGGTGGTTGGGTTTTTTCAGTGGAAACCCACTTGTTTATTCTTAAAAGAACACAACATCAGATCTACTTTCAACAAATTTATAGGTATATAATTCAATATTGTTAACTAGAGGCACAATGTTGCACAGATCTCTAGAACATAATCATCTAGAACTGAAACTTTATATCCTTTGTACAGCAATCCCTATTTCCCTTTTCCCCAACCCCTGTCATCCATTCTTCTGCTCTCTTTTTCTCTGAGTTTAGCTATTTTCGATTCCTGTTATTATAAGTAGAGTCATGCAGTATTTGCCCTACTGTGGCTAGCTTATTTCCCTTAGCATAATGTCTCCAAGTTCATCCATGTTGTTGCATAGTATAGGATTTCTTTCTTTTTTAAGGCTGAATAATATACCACATTTTATTTATCCATTCATATGTCAGTGGACATTTATGTTGTTTCCACATCTTGACTATTGTGACTAATTTCAGTTATCTAAAACAGAGCGATAGTGTGGCTCAGTGGTTGAGCATTGACCCATGCACCAAGAGGTCACCGGTTCAATTCCCGGTCAGGACACACACCCAGGTTGTGGGCCCAATCCCCAGTGGGGAGCATGTAGGAGACTGCCAATCAGTGTTTTCTCTCATCAATGTTTCTGTCTCTCCCTCCCTCTCACTTCCTCTCTCTGTAAAATCAATAAAGGAAAAAAATTTTTTTTGAACAACGAAAAAAGAACAATAACAGTTGGTAGTGAGGGTGGGGAGAAATTGGAACACTGTTGATGGGAATGTAAAATAGTACAGCCACTATAGAAAACATGATGGTTCCTCAAAAAATTGAAAATAGAATTTCCAGGCCCTGGCTGGGTAGCTCAGTTGATTAGATCATCATCCTGATGCTCCAGGGTCGGGGGGCTCGATCCCCGGTGCAAGCACATGCAGGAGTCAGCCAGTGAATGCATGAATGGGTGGAGCAACAGTGTTTATCACTGTTTATATTAAATCAGTCTTTATTTCTCTCTCTTCCTAGTGTTCTCTCCCTAAAATCAATAAACTAAAGAAAAAAATGTTAAACAGAATTACTGTATGATCCAGAAATCCCATTTCTGAATATATACCCAAAGGAGGGCCTGGGTTTTAAATTGGAAGCTGGACAGAACACAGATCTAAGTGAGAGGGAATAGAAAAGACTAGATAAACAGTGATTCTAGTAAAGGAATTGCAATAAGCCACACTGGAGAATCAGAGCACTGTGGTCTCCATTGATTAAACAGAAATCAAGATTCTGCCACTATGCAGGGCACATAACTTCAGTTCTGCTCTAAACAGCTAAAGGTTGTATTTTGTTTTTCTTTTACTCACACAAGAATTTTGATACCAAGTTAAAGACTTGTAAAATGTTTTCAAGAAATATATTATCTGGGTGATAGAGTGAAAAGATAAAACAGAAACTGCTAACAGCAGTTAGTGTTTGGGAGAAGAATTGGGGATCAGAAGGAAAGAAGGAAGAGAAATTATACTTTTCATTTTCATTTTGAAATTTGTCTTTCCCTTGCATATGTAATGACTTTACATAATCGCCCAACCTAACATTGGTTTATACCTTTTGGCTGAGAGTCAGGGGAGCTATCTTTTTAATTGATACATTATTTCTTTATATGTATATTTCTTTCACAGATACCCAGGCGTTCTTTCTGATGTTCAGGAGGAGAAAGGCATTAAGTACAAATTTGAAGTATATGAAAAGAACAAGTAATGTGAAGGTGTTTTCTGCTTCATCTCAAGTTGTTCCCCATCCCCTCCAAACAATTAATGTATTTAACATTAGAGAAAGAGACTTCTGTTGACTCTAGATCTATGGATAATTATTTCTAAGCATTGTGTTTTTATTAATTAGTCTTAATCTTAACTAGATTTGGTTAACACTGATCTTAACTGTGCTAAATCAGATACCATTTGTGAAACATCTGTTGCTGTAACTGTCTAAATGTCCATCAAGGGCAAGGATTGGGTCCCCAGCATCTGCCTAAGGTAACATACTAAGACACCACAGTGGGAGAGTTTCCTGATATTGTGAGTTGCAATCCAGGCCTATAAACATCGAAGCTAGACAAATTTGTCCAAATGTCAGAAATGGATTATAATCAGAAGAGTTCAAACTCAGATATTAAAAGAAAAGTAGATCACCCTTGCTAGTTTGGCTCAGCAGTTAGAGCATCGGCCAGTGGACCAAAGAGTAGCAGGTTTGATACTGGTCAAGGGCACGTACCTCAGTTGCAGTTTGTCCCCAGCCCTGGTCAGGGTCATTCGGGAGGCAACCAGTCGATGTGTCCCTCTCACATTAATGTTTCTCTCTCTCTCTCCCTCCCTCCCACTCTATCTGAAGATAAAATAGAAAAATATCCTCAGGTGAGGATTAAAAAAAGAAAAGTAGATAAAAACAGGGACCGGAATTACTCAGTGCATATCACACTTCTAAAAAGAGTTCTGTTCACTCAAGGAATCTAAGTTGAGAACTGCAGTATACGCCACAGGGATAGTAAGAGGCAGGTAGGAGACTACTTTTCTGATTATTAAAAGAGAAGGTCTGAGACCTTTAAAAACTGTTTCTAGTCTTGGGTGAGATGTCATGGGATGTTACAATGATAGAACAAGAATAGGCTACTCTCTACACAAAAAAATAATAACAAGCATATGGCTAAAATTAAAAATTCAAAAAGAATAGATATTGTTAGAAACCAAAATTAGTAAGTTAGAAAATAAACTTCACATAATTAAAAAATGAAAATTAAAACATGTTTTACCCATCATGTTAGCTAATATTTGGATTTTTAGGTATCCAAAGAAATAGACTTTTCTGCCTTGTAAATTGATACAAACTTTTTAAAGTAAAAGTTAGCAATATCAATTAAAATTCAAAATAACCTAGGTTTGGACCCAGAGTTTTCGCCTCCAGAAATTAATCCTGAATAAACAGATGGACCCAAGACTATTTGTTGTACCATTTTTTAAAATTAGGAACAATATCCAAAATCTTTAATGTAGAGAAAATTGTGCTGTTGACAGTATCACAGTTGGGTGTGTGATTTTATGCATTAGATATGTCTATTGTGATAAGATTTTTTGAAATATGTGCTTATTTTCGTGAAAAAATTAAGGTAATAAGTTGAGCCCTTTATATTCAGCAGTAAAACTAGGATACAGAACATCAGGAGTAAAAAGGAATTTTCTAAAAATCTTTCATAGAGGAAAACAAAAACAAAACAAAACGAGGTCACACAGAAGAATAGAAATCAGTAGTGTATAAGATTCACAAACCACAAGAAATAATGGAGTACTCTGCAAGGAACACAATCAGAAAACTATTACTATCTAGAATTTTTAGAACTCATATATTAAGAAGAAGAGCCCTGGCCAGTTTGGCTCAGCGGTTGGAGCGTTGGACTATGGACCAGAGAGCCCCAGGTTCAGTTCCCACTAGGGGCACATACCAAAAGAAAAAGAAAAAGAAGCAAGCCATTTAGAGCAGAGGAAACGCAACTGCCATAAATACATGCACAGACATACCTTCCCACGAGTAACGGGCAACGTAAATTAAAGCTGCAGAAAGTTACCTTCCACACATGCTAGAGGTGGCATTCTCACCAGTACTTGACCCTCAGCCCTTTAAAATGTTGACAATATTTATTAAGGATGAAGATGCACATGCCCTATGGGCCAGCAATTTCATACAGGGATAAATACCAAGAGAAAACCTTCTACATATATATCAAGAGATTTGTAGAAATATGTTGCAGCCTTGTTTGTAATAGTGAAAAACTAAAAGCAACCTGAAAGTCCAGTTGACAGGAAAGTGCATACATTACTGTCTTAGATCCCAAAAGCAGATCCCAAGACTAGATTTTAAATGAAAGCACCAGTTGTGTGGAAAGGTGCAACAGTTCAAGGTCAGTGAGCAGGTTCCCATTAGGTAACAAGCTCAATACTGCTTAAACATCTAGGAAATGGAAGAAAACAAGTATTTATGCCCTACTCATCATTGTTTGAGGGCTGTTCCCAGGGTCATCAGTTCCTTGCCCTGTGTGGGCTGAACGGACTTCAGCAGCTAGATAGAGCCCTGTGTTCTCTCATTAAGAAGATGCTGGCTCACACAGGACCCGTGAATGCTGAACACCTAATGCAATTCCATATGTTTATGATTATGTGTAAGATCTTCATACTTTTTTTTATGTAGTAAAAAGTATAAGCCATGTATAGCTTTTAAAATATTTTACAGCCCTGGCCGGTTTTGCTCAGTGGTTAGAGCGTCAACCTGCAGTCCAGAGACCCAGGTTTGGTTCCCACTAAGGGCACGTACCTCCGTTGCAGTTTGTCCCCGGCCCTGGTTGGTCATGCGGGTGGCAGCCACTCAATGTGTCCCTTTCACGTCAATGTTTCTCTCTCTCTCTCTCTCTCTCTCTCTCTCTCTCTCTCTCTCTCCCTCTCTCCCTCCCTCCCTCCCTCCCACTCTATCTGAACAAAAAGTGGAAAAATATCCTCAGGTGAGGATAAAAAAATAAAATATTTTACAATGTAAAAAAATACAGAAGCAGAGAGACCAATTACAAGTTCAGGTGAGGGATGATGGTAACTTGCAACCAGAGGGTTGAATATAGTGAAAAAATTGTGATTCGGTATATATTTTGAAGTTGGAGTAATGGGATTTTCTAATGGAGTAGTCTGATTTTGGTTTCAGACCCACCAAATTTGAGATGTTTGGAAGGAAAGCAGGAAGGAGAGCGGAAATAAAAGAAAAACAAAACAATAGAATCATGCCTTAAATTCTGAGAAGAAATTTGTTTCAACTGGTAAATCTATACTAAGCCAAATAATCAAGGACACTTGAAGTTAGGGAGAGACAGAGCAGGAGGAGACTTTTCAGTTTTTACTCAGACTTTTGGAACCATACCATTTTCATGTATTTCTTAAACACAATTATTTCTTAATAAGTCCACTAGTTCATAAGTGCTGGCTTCCTGTTATTCTTTGAACACCTCACATAAAACTTCAAAGACTCTTATGGCAATTTAGCTCCACCGTCAGCCTAAAAATGTAGAAAGGAAAATATAAAATTAGCCAAGGGTCACACAAAATTCCAAAATCTAATTGTTGGGAAACATCAGTCTTTCTGTCTGCAGATACTTTGTTCATCTTTCAACACAGCATCAAAGTATCACTTTTTCCAGGTTGATTTATGAAACAGCACCATAAGGTGATTGTAATTTTAAGCAAAAAATGTAAATAATAAACCACAACCACATGTTCTATTCAGGTTAGCACATTTTATGTTTCTGTGAGATTGAAATTATGTAACATACCCACATCCTAACTCGGTTCTCAAAATGCCACCCCCAGTACCTGTCTAAGGCATTTTAAACAAGTACCCTACATGATCCTGAAGCCTCCTCAACGTTGTAAATCAGAGTCAGAGTTCTTGCAAGGAATAAAAATAGCTGAAATTTTTATCCTGTCTTCTAGAATATCTAAATGAAGCAAAACAAATACAAGCAAATTACAAGAAGTCAACATGTATGAAATTGGAGAAAATAAAATGATAAAGATTAGCTCTACGTGTTGCTGATCTATTTAAAAACTAAAGACTCATTCCCTTTCCCAAATCCTCCTAGCACCGGAGTCTAATTCTAATTAGTGCACATCAGAATTTAGGATCACTGGCTTAAAACTAATCTTGACCTATCATCCGAGGCTGGTATATTCCCGTAACCCCAACGAAATCAGAAGTCTTGCCAAGGAAGAACAGAGGGTGGATATGAGAATACAGTTAACAGTGATTGCCACATCAACACTGCCAGAGTGCCAGCTGTTTCAAGGCAGAAACTATACCTTATTCCCTTTTGTCTCCCCTCAAGATATATAGCATTTAAAAATTGTGATGATAAATAAATGAATGAGCAGAACACCATGCACCAGTTGCCAAAACCTGAGGGGAGGGGAGTCCAACTACATGGAGGATAGTAAAGATCACCCCCCTGACGGCTCCGGGATGGAAGTCCCAACATTCCTGCCCACTGCGTCTTGGCACCGGAGTTGCCAAGGAAAACAGCATAAACAGTACAGCCAAGGAAGGCTGACTGGCCTACATGCACCCTTCTTGTGTCACAGTAGAAGGACCCCAACCTCTCTCCAGTGGAGTCTGAAATACTGAAAGCTGGGGCATGCCTGAGGTCACTGTCACACACACTCAAGCAGATCAAAGGAGCACAGGCTGTGTGGGCTCCTTGTCTCTTGGTGAGGAAGTGTCCCAGACCCAACGCCCATTCTCATGTTCCTGAGCTGGGTTGATATACGTGCCTTATAGCTGTTCGGACTGAAAGGCACATGTGAGTCTGCTTTTCCCAAGACTGAGAAAAAGAGAAAACAAAATGAGTTAAATAGAATTTTGTGTATCATCTTTGGAACCTCAAGACCTGTGTAACATTCTTTAGGAAAATGAGTTTCAAGTATTAAACAGCCAGTTTACAAATGAACTATTTGCAAATAATAATTGTAAGTAGGAGACCAACAATACTCAGTTCTTTCCATGAAGTGTTCTTTAATTGGTTTTCTTCCATGAAAACTGAATAGAGACCATGCTAACTTATCTCTTATTCACTGTGTGTCTGGTGGCTGTGTCCTAAGTGAACACCTAGGCTGGCAGCAGATTACCTAGAGAAAACAATTAACTTCCACGGTCCCCAGCCACCCTCCATCCACTTTCCTCCAAGGTTTCTAGTGACTCCACTCTCTGCAGCAGATAAACAGTTTTCAGACCACATGACACAACACAAAGTCTTACCACCACGGTGCTGGGGGAGGGGGAGTTACGCAGAAATCCTGCAATCTAGATATTCAAATGTCATATTTAAGTTCTATCATATAGTCAATCTTATAATAAATTCTCTGTGGAATCCACATTTGGGGTTGATTTGGCATTTCATACATTCGCCACATTGCTATAAATTACATTCTCAATCAATAGATTAAAACAAGTTTAATGTGAGGTTTTTTTTGCAGTACACTAAAGGGGAAAATGATGCTGTTCGCGCCGTGTGGGTTGAAGATGCACACTGCCTTAGCAGACAAACCCTGAGCTCAGTGACCTAACACAATGGGGGTTACTTGCTGGAATGCAGTCCTACACAGCAGGCAGCTCTCCAGGTGGTAATTCAGAAATCCAGGCTCCTTCCCTCT